TAAATATCTAAAATCATTGTTCTAAAATAGAAAAATATCTAAAAAGATACATATCAAACCAAAAAAAATGAGATTTCATTCCCCAAAGTGAATGCAATAATGAGAAGAGCTGTGGTAATGAGTAAAGACTCATCCCATCTTACTCTACAACTAGGCTTACTAATTTGGTAGCCATTATGTTATATATGTGGTTATTTATATTTAGATCAATTAAAGATTTAGTTTCTCAGTATTCTACCTATACTTCAAATGCTTAATGGCCCTGTATAGCAAGTACTTACTTGACTGGACAATAAGGACCTAAAAAATTTCTATCATTAAAAAAACTTCTATTCTTCTATTGGACAATGCCTCCCTGTGCTAGTATTTCCATATTACTTGAGTTTATTAAGCTTATCTTCATTTTACAACTACACACAGAAATATCCCACTCCTTCCACCTCATGCTCAAATGGGGGATGGGGGATAATCATTAAGTAAATGCAAAGGGAAAAAAAAATTAGAAAAAGCAACCACAGTATTTTTATCCCTAGTTCAAAATTCTCTGTAATGTCTATCACAGAAAAAAATGATTTTTTGGTTGGTAACTATGATTTTCTGAATGGTGTATTCAATACTGCCACTATGTAGGTACAGATTTTTGTAGGTTATAAATTCCAAAGCAGCTTAACATTTCCCAAACTGCATTCTTTCCTATAAAACATGGAATCTTTGAAATGCTTTTGATTCCTTGACCTAATATTTTAAGAAATGACATGTTATCCTTTTTCTGAAGATTCACAATGCATAGTAACTCTGAAAAGTTCTACAATGAAGAAATCTTTTGAATGTGACTTGTTCTCCAAGGGAATTTATAATTAAATTTGGACTATAGAAAATATTAAATTCATATATTTTCCAAAAACTGGGAATAAAAAAAAAGAAAGAAACTAAATGCATTACCTAGTTGAGACAGCAAACTGATAATACTTAAGATCAGTGAAGCACTTATGTTTGGGTCTTCCAGTAGCTCCACAAGGCAACTCAAGCATTCACTTGGTAGTATCTGATTTGAGGTAAACAGTCGTGTGAGCTTTTGTCCAGAAATTACCTATTAAATGGTATACAAAATGTGTCAGTTAAGAGTTGGCAATTTTCACCTCTTGTTTGTTTCAAATAATAAGCTCAGTTTTTTCAAAGTGCTACTGCCACTTTCTTTCCCATTATGAAAAATTCACACATCCTAGATTATCTAATCCTCCCTCACTAGCTACAGTAATCACTTGGATCTTAGTTTAAATTCTTTCCTTCCAGTCAATTTTTCTTAAGTCACACCATATAAGTTAGGTTGACTTGTAGCCTACCATACACTATACCTCTTTTTCATGCGGTAGCAAACTTTTGACTATCTAGTAATATTTGTCTTCCATACTATATTGAACACTCTACAAAACTCTAGACTAAAAATTTGCCCTTTATTACTTATACATTTATTTTATAAATGAATTCTAGTTTCACTGACTTTGAGGGAGAATGAAAAAATGAAACCTCAAGGGTAACTATGGATTGCTCCTTTGCAAAGATAAGACCTAAGTCCAAAAAGTAAGAGATAATAGAGAATATAGTTAAAAAAGAATTTTAAGTAGCTGGGATAGGCATTAAAAATTTAATTTTTGTTTATTCAATTTTTCATTCCTCTCTTTTTTTAAAGAGAGAGAGAGAGAAAGAGAGAGAGCGAGAGAAATTCTTTAATATTCATTTTCTAATTTTCAGTGGACACAACATCTTTGTTTGTATGTGGTGCTGAGTGGTGCTGAGGATCGAGATCGAACCGGGCCGAACGCATGCCAGGCAAGCGTGTTCCTCTCTTACGACCAACAAAGAAAGGAGAGTCACAATGTAAAACTTGGATTGAAAAACAAAACCAGCTGGCAGAAAGCATGAATTTCCAAAATGCTTTACAAATTATTTATTATTAAGCATCCTTTTATATTAAGATAGGAAAACCATTAGATACTTCAAAATTAGATTAAATCTGTTCTAAATACTTTAAAAATTTTCTGCTTTATTATCCCTCTAATTTTCTTTGCCTGCTTTATTATCTCTCTAATCTTTCTTTTCTGATCTTTTATTCCCTCACCCATGTTAGTTTTCTTTGAAAGCTTTGGTGTTAAGAGTTTCACATTGTCTGTTCCCAAGGAGTATAGATTTTACATTGATAACTGTAGTCCTCTAGAAAATTAAGACCATACTTTTTGTGTATTGGATACTGGGGATTGAACCCAGGGAACTTTACTACTGAACTATGACCTTTTCAAAAAATTTGAGACAGGCCCAGGCTGGACTTAAACATATGATGTTCTTGCCTTAGCCTCCCAAGTAACTGAGATTACAGGCCTGCACCACCAGGCCCAATCTGAATGCTACTTTTAATATCTAGTCACAAGGTTACTGTTGTGAAATCACATCATCATCAAAAATCAGCTCAGCCTATAAAGAACCAATTAAGAAACTATGAACAGGGGCTGGGGATGTCGCTCAAGCGGTAGCACGCTCGCCTGGCATGCGTGCGGTCTGGGTTCGATCCTCAGTACCATATACAAACAAAGATGTTGTGTCTGCCAAAAACTAAAAAAAAGTATTAAAGTATTAAAATTCTCTCTCTCTCTCCCTCTCTTAAAAAAAAAAGAAAGAAACTATGAACAAATAGAAGGAAGACCACTACAATAGTAGAAATGGAAACAGGAGGGAGAAAGAGGGGGAAAGAATAAGTACTAGCGACTCAAGTAGAGACAATTATATTCCATGCTTGTATGATTATGCAAAATGTACCCCAATATTATGTATAACTATAATACAAAAAAATCAACTTAGCTTTGTGAATCATAAAAAATTCAAAGCTCAAGTTCTGCATGGGACTATATAGACAAAGTATGGAGGAAGTTCGGAGGAATGGATAATCCCCTTTCATGCTGATACTCATTTCTGCATTCTCAGTTCTTTTCTGAGATCTGCACAAGGCATTCACCATCAGAAATATAAATATCACCTACCTAATGGCAAAATTAAAAACTATGAAAACTCCAAGGAGTGGTGTGGATGAGTGATGGTAAATTTCATATATTGCTGGTGGGAGAGTAAAATGCTCATCTTTCAGAAAACTATTAAGCAATTTCATCTAAAACTGAACATAAATCTATCTTATGACCCAATGATTCCATTCGTAGGTATATTAAAGAAATGGGTAGGTGCATATATCCCAAAAAGTATATGAAATATTTTTAAATAATTTTATTCACAATTCCATCCAGAACTGGAAACAACTCAAACGCTAATTAATAGGAGAATGTATGTAAATTGTTTACATTTGTGCAATGAGATTCTAGACAGCAACAAAAAAGAATGAAGTACTGGTACATGAGCAACCTGCATAAATTTCACAGATTATAGTCAGACAAGAGAGTACATGTTGTTTTAAGTCCAGTTATTTGAAACTTATGTGAAGGGACAATGAAAAAAATTATGGGGATGCTGAAAATGTTCTATAATATGATGCAGGAGATAGCTACTAAATGTACACATATGTCAAAAAACCTATCAAGCTCTTTGCTTAAGATGAATACATTTATGTACTGTGCTCTAAATTACAAAAATAATGTCCCTAAGAGTATTAACCTAAAGTCAGTGCGCTTTGTATCTTTAAATCAATAGTAAAAAAGTTTTCTGTAAAATTCTTCAAAGTTTAGGTAAACAGCATTCAAGAAGGACTAGGACTCTATGTCCCAAATTTCCTTAGTTTCTTTCAGTTCACAATAGCATTACATTCAAATTCACAACAACCCTGTTCTTGAAGAGAGGTCATGTTTTAGGTTGGTATTTCTAAGTGTTTAACTCCTAATTCTTAAATAAAACTGATGACCCTAACCTTTTGGCTTTCTGGAGTCTGCAATGTTCTATCCTAATTGAGAAGCTCAGCCTTAAACATTTAACAACTAACACCTTAATTATTAGGTTTGCAGGGGCTTTCATGGAGTAACGAATAAAAAAAATGTACAGCAATAAAGTTTAAGGGAACAAAGATACATTTATTAACTCCAGTTTCTCTAAAGACTGATGCTGCTGTACCTTTCACAATCGTCTTTTATCTGTAGCAATCACAGGTACTATCTGCTAATAATAATCATAGGGTTAATATAACATAGAATGTATTTTAAAATTCTGTTCCATTTTAACAGGGAAAGCTCAGAGAAATAAAATAAGCTTTAAATGAGAACCTAAATTTAAGAGCCTAAAACAGGACAGCTTATACTAAAATCACTGGGAACGAATGGCAGGACTTTCTCCACCGCCGTCCCCGAAGATCGCTGAACACTGGGAAGGCTCGGTTTCAACGGGAAAAAAAAAAAAAAAACAAGAAGCAAAGGAAGTAAAAGGACGGCTCTGAGCTCTCTTTACCTATAAGAAACAGCCCAAATTTCCCACCCGCTCTTTTCTTGGAGTTCTCCGTAGGCCCTCCTCTCTCGCTGCAGCCACCTGAAGGCTTATACTCACTTGCCCTCATAATACAAAATGACAGTTAAGAGAGTGAAGAGCTGTCCTTTCTGTCCCAAGCTGGGGCCGCCACTCCCCGGCCACACCAGGATCCGTGGTAATTATTAAGGACGGAGAACCCAATTTGTCCCACGCCGCGAAATCCTTTACCTCCAAGTGCCGCAAAAGCTGAGTAGCGTTCGCTTCTGACTTAACGGCTTTGTACTGACTGATGGTCAAGAGCAAGGACTTCAAGCAGGCGGTGGAGTCCATCGGGACAGTCCAGTCCGCAGTGCTGATCAAAAAGCCGCCCCGTCTCCGTCCGCTCGGGCTTCCAGTGTTCACCGCGCTTTTTTCGTTTTGCGGCTCCACCCACTCCCAGTTGTTTCCGGTTCCGGTCGAGCTCCGGAAGTTTCGAGACACTCTGAGGGACTGCTAGGTCTGCGGGGAGGGGTGGGCCTAGGGGTCGAGGCGCTCTGTGGGTCCAGAAAAGGGATTGAGAGACGGCCTCTTAGCCCCTCTTACACAAAAGGCCGCGAGGTTTCAGATTGAGCTCCGCGAAGACGAGAAATCTCGCGATAAACGCGTTTGCGGCTTAACTTGTGGAGGGGCGGTTAGGCTCCGGGGGTCGGTCCTGGCTAAGTAGTGTGTTCTGTTTTCGTGTATTTCCTCGGCCTTCACGCTGGAGGGCTAGTTTTTTTCTTTGTGCATCATCTTCTGCCAGAGAAATGGTCGTTTTCCCTTAGTCTAGACACGGTGAGGAGATCTGAGGAGAAGAATCTTTGGGTCCTGGATTTTGACGCGGCCTGGGAGGGGCCTCAATTTTAAGTCTTGCTGCAACCACCCCCTTATGCCTAGGAGTGAATATTTCTCAAGAGAGGACCTGTGTGTGGTACCTGGGGTTCTACAGCAAGTTAGTCATGCCCTTACACTAGTGCCAAACTTGCTCCAGAAAGCTACCTCGGGGACGCCTGGGCCAGGTATTGCTCCGGAGGATGTTCTCGGCGTTAATTTTTGTAAGCGAAGTTGTCTGTGTGTCTAGCATGACTTGTAAAGTTCGATGATGACGAAAATGACACTTTGCATTTTTTTGACGAGAGGAAATATGCATGTGTAGAGTGAAGTGAGTAACTGATTCTGGAACTTTCAACATAGTGTATGCTGATGACGAATAAAACCTTAAAAACCAGGTTGTAGGAAATTGTGCGGATACAGCACAAGTCCGTTTAATTAGGAAATCACGTTTTGTCAATTGAAGAAACTTTCTGTGCCAGTACTTTTGTTAAGACACACTGTATTTTTATATTAAAAACTATTTAAAATTAAATAGGATAGTTGAAAATCTTTTGGACCATTGAGACATTCATGTAAAAGTTTGGGGGTACCTAATGTATTCATTTATGCATTTATTCATTTCCCATATTAAATAATTATTGAATGTTTATGAGTTAGGCATTCCCAGTCTGGGAACAAAGAGAAGGAAGTACCCCCTGCTAGGAAAGAATTGTCTGATAAGGTAAATATCCTAAATAAAAAGTATTTTAGGAATTCACCACATAAATGAAAGTCTCTTATCAGTGATTGTAAAGAATGGAACCCTGTTTTTTACAAATCATTGCTTCATCTTTGACTATGTGACTCCAGGCAGTTCTCACTGTTCCAGTCTTAAAGTAAAATCTAAGTATGATCTGTTTGACAGGATTTCTCATTCAATAAATTAATTCGTTGAGATTCTACCATGTACTTGTTCTAGGCTCTAGAGATTCAGTGAATAAACACCAAAAATCTTAGTGGCATAGAACTTACATTCTGGTAGGAAATCTATAATAAACAGAAAAATAAGGAAAACATAAAGAGTATTGTTACCTCATAGAGAAGCAACATTTGAGGAAATACTTTTAGGAGTTGAGAAAAAGCTATATTCATTAGTAGAAAAAGTTTCTAGTTAGTGAGAATGGTGAGGACAAAGACAAAGTGGAAATGTGACAACATACTAGGAATACAGAGTAGAGAGCAAGAATGAGTGGTAGAGATACAGAGATGAGGTCATATAAGATCTTGCAAGACCTTTGAGTTAATCAACATAAAGAATGAATTATTGAGCGTGTACTGCATATGTCTCTAATTCCAGCTACTGGGGAGGCAGAAGGATTACAGTTTCAAGATGAGCTTCCATAAAGTAGCTAGAGCCTGTCTCAAAATGGAAAATACGGCTGGAGATGTAGTTCAGTGGTTAACATCCTTGGGTTCAATTCCCAGTACCAAAAAAAAAAAAGAATTATTGCTTGACAATTATTTTGTGTTAGTTACACGTGTTGGTAAATGGAGTGTTAAGATTTTGGTAGTATTACACTTTTTCACCTCCAATTACAGGAGTAAGCATCACCATTTTTAGCACCTGCAAAAGGCTCCAACTCCAAGGGTGTGAGCCTTCTTTTGAATCTTGCATTTTAACTTAAGTGGTAACAAAATTCTGCATTTTCTTCTGTTTATTTTAATATAAAGTAATTTTTTCTCGTGAAAAAATCTTCACCAAATTTAATGGAAGCTTAGTAATATGAACATGTTTGTAGCTGTGAGAAACCTGGGCATTTTTATTTTTAGTCAGTGATACTTGCATTCCTAATTTGGTAAACAGAACCATGTTTTTATTCCTTAAAAAGGGTAAAGAATAGATGAAGGAGATGACGCTCAGTCCAGGTGACTAAAGGCCTTGCGCTTGGATTCCATCTTGAGTGCTGTAGTGATCTCTGTTTTTAAATTGGGACCTTATCTAGTCAATTTGTGTTTTAGATTGATTACTCTGGCTGAATGGGCTATGATTTTGAGAGGGGAAACACTAGAAATAGAGAGACTAATTTGCTTCTGTCTTTGCAAAGTATAACTAGGATAATTGATTTGGAGATTTAGAAGGGGTAAAAATTTGAGAAATATTTATGAGGTCAATTTGGATTCAGTGACTATATGTGAAGATTGAGGAGAAGGATTGCTCTAGAAGGATTTCCAAATTTCTAGGTTGTGTAATTAGGAGAATACAGGTATTGCTGAGGTAGTCAATCAACAGTATTTGGGGTATATTTTTTATTCAGTGAAATTTTATATAGTTTATCATAGAATTTTGTACCATTGAATTATATTTCTAGGTATTTATAATTTTTTATAATTTTAAGAAGATTCTCTTTTTCTCTTACAAATTTTTGTTATTACTCTTAAGAAATAGATGCTAATTTTTTGGTTTGCCTTTAAATCAGGCTACTTATCAAAATCTCTTAGTAATTTTTTTTAATTAAAAAAAATTTTTTTAGTAGTGAAGCCTCAGGACAATGAGGCAATAATACTTTTTGATTACTTATTGTGATATACACAATACTTTTTTTTTTTTTTAATGTGGTGAGGATCAAACCCAGTGCCTGCACATGCTAGGCAAGTGCTCTACCACTGAGCCACAACCCCAGCCTCTCTTAATAATTCTAATAGAGTTGTGTTTATTCTCTAGACTTTCTTTCTTATATCATTGGTAAATAATTACTTTATCTTCCAATATTTATTATCTTATTGTATTAGCATAATCTTGAAAGTATGAAAAATCATGATAACATTGAGTATTTTTAATGAGAATGACCAGTATTTTGGGGGAGGTTGCCGGGAATTGAACTCAGGGGCACTCAATCACTGAGCCACATCCCCTGCCCTTTGCATTTTATTTAGTAACAGGGTCTTACTAAGTGGCTTAGCGCCTTGCTGTTGCTGAGGCTGATTTTGAACTTGCCATCCTTCTGCCTCAGACTCCCAAGCCCTGGGATTACAGGCAAGCACCACCACACCTGGCCTAATATTTTTTACACTCAGTATAATTTGTACTATTGACTTGTTATAAGTATTTTATATCATTTTAAGGAGATTCCTCTTTATATTATGTTGCATTTTTTCTTGGAATAATAATTACACAGACTAATTGAGCATTTGTCATGTGCCAGGCACTGTTCTAAGGACTTTCTACCTATCTATTTAATATTCATAACAGCTCCCTGCTATAGATTCTGTTATAATCATCATTTTACAGATGGAAAAAAAAACAACTAAAGTAAAGATGAAATAATTTGCCCAGGGTGACACAGGCAGTGGTAATAGACCCTGTTTTTGCTATGCTGTAGGTTTTGATTTTTTGATATTTTATTCAGGTATCATTATCTATGTTTTTAAGTGAGACTTTACAATATTTTTTCTTTATTCTTCTTTGGAATTTGGGTATGTATTACTTTTGAAAAATGAATTGCAGTGTTTCATTTTTAATAGTATAGAATAATGATACTATAGGAATTACTTGATCTATGCAGAATGAATACAAAACTGGCCTAATAAATTAAACTTGGTAGATTGTATAGTGGTAGAACTTCAACAAATTATGAATTTCTAATAAGATTATGAGTCTTATAATTTTCAACCTTTTCTTTAGTTATTTCTGGAAAAAATATTTAGCATACTAAATGTTTTCTAGATTTAAAAAGTATTGATATACAACAAGTTGCATTTAGTATTTTATTCTCTTAACTTCTCCCATGTAGTTTTAAATTTCCTTTTTCATTCTAATGTCTTTTTTTTCTTATTTGCATTTTTATGCACCTTTTCAAAAGAACCAACTTTAATTTGTTAATTCTTTTCCATTCATTCTTGAATCATTAATTTTGCTTGGCCTTTATTAATTCTATCCGCATACATACATTTGATTTTTGTTTTTTTGGGTTTTTTTAAATAAAGATTTCTTGTTTAGTTGTAGATGGACACAACACCTTTATTTTGTTTATTTTTTTTATGTGGTGCTGAGGATAGAACCCAGTGCCTCAATCATGCTAGGCAAGCACTCTGAGCCACAACCCCAGCCTCCATACATTTGGTTTTTTTCATAGTTTTGTAGAAGTTAAAGGCTTAGTACATTTTATATTCTGTATTTTTATAAAGAACCCTTACTTTACACCAGTAATTTTAAAAACCTAAAGTCAGAATCTTCATTTTTACCTTTAAAAAAAAAAAGTCATTTTAACCAGTCAGGAAAATATAATTGAAAAATGCTACAATCAAATATCTACTGAGTGCCAATACTATTTTCAAAGAGGTTATACTCTTTTGGGGAACCAGAATAAGTACTATTAAGAGAAATAGAGAATGTTGTAGAATACACATTTTTTTAAGGATAAAATGTTAAGTATCCAGTTCCTTCATTCTTCAAGGATTGGCATAAAATATCTCTTTGTGAACTTTTATTACTGTTTGTTCTTTATATTTGGCTTAGATATTTTCCATAGTTTAGGAATCAGGCTTCAAGGAGTAAACAAACACTTGGTTAGGATCTTATAACATGAGTTTATGCCTGACTAGTTCCTTTATTTGTTCTGGAAAAACCTAAAACATGCTGTCTTCAATTCTGAAAATACTAATTTTAAATCGCTTTTAATCAGGGTTTAAGCTATGTTAAATGAATCAGACTGAATGAAGATGTGAATTATAGTTTTTACAGAACTGCAGAGTTTGTAGAATACTGAATATTGTAATGTGAGAATTGTACCAGAATTGTAAACAGAGGATCAATTGTTCATTCATTCATCTACCATGTACTTAATGAATACTTAAGTGCTAGGTATATTTCAAAGGATTCTGAGGATGTGGCAGTGAACAAAATAGACAAAAAATTCTGCCCATGTAGTTTTTATTTTACTTTTTTGTCTGTCTGTTTTTAGTTTTTGTCTTTCCCTTCAGTGCTGGGGAATAACTAAAGGACCTCATAATGGTAGGCAAGTGTTCTACCACTGAGCTACAATTCCAACCCTGAGTATTTTTTTGAGGGATAAAGATAACTAGACACATAAGTAAATGTTAGTAATAAGATTTATGGAGGGAGACAAACGGAGACAGAATAGGAACTATCAAAGTCAAATTAAGGTGTTGCAATATTTGCTAGGGCAAAATGTTAATTGGTTTTGGCTGAATAACCAAGTCACCTCAAAAGTCAGTGGTTGAAATCATGAACATTTGTTTCTTTCCCACAGGTATGTGTGTTGATCTAACCTAACTTGTCTGAGTGGCTCTTTTCAGTCATTTTGTGGGAAGGTGCAGTTATCTGGAGCT